CCAGGTCTTCTTAGATTACTGCACACCATGACGTTTCTCTTATGCTAAGGAAATCCACACGGAGGGCTATTTGAAGTAACTAGAAATGTACTCTTGTTGGATAGTAATTAAAACTCCAAGAACATTTACCTGCGAGAAAAGGAAAAGCCAAGCTCTCCATGTGAGACAGGGACCTTGCAGATGGAGCCTCCAGGAGCCCGAAGCTCCTCTGCCCCCTCCAGGGACAGGGGGGTGCACACTGAACATCTATTCTACCACAGGAGCCTGTGAGCACAGATGTGAAAAGGCAACAACTCTGATGATTGCAAAAAAAATTGCAGAGCCATTTTGTGCTCCTATTCATCTCCTGCTTCTTCGCGCTGGGTTTCCTTGACATGCGCCTTGGCATCAGCTTGAGAGAGTAGGACCATGGAGGCCCGGTCACGGTGCGCCCTCACCTCCTCCTCCCTCTGGCCCGGGTCAAAGCAGCCGAGGGAAAGGCAAGTGTCGGAGAGGCTGGCCTGGGGTCTGGGGGCAGACAACCCAGGCAGGCGGAGGAGGACCTCCTGGGAGGACCGGGCATGGGGCATGGTGGGGTGGTCTCGGGAGAGGAGCCATAAGGACAGGCCCCTAATCTTTTCTGCACCACAGACAGACCCCTTTGCACTTGCGTCCCTTTTAATGCAGAAAATGAAACACTCCAATTATACAGAAAACATCTATATTGAAATGATAAAGCATTTCTTAAAACCAAGTTAGGATGGGATACACGTGTTCCTGTATTCACTCAGTTACAGGATTCTGCAGCAGGCCTGCTGATGGGTATAATCTTAGAGCAGTCGTGAGCGAGACCAAACGTTGGGGCATTTGCCACACGGCAGAGGTTCGGGAGAAGACACAAATCTCACTAGCAGCCAGCCGTGAGTGCGAAGAATACTTCTTGGGTTTTCCCTACATTTATGGTAGGAGGAAATGTTACATTTCACTGAGAGGTTAGTGAAAATAAAGATGTGACTTCCCCACCACATTCACAGGCAGGTCTGGGGGGCCTGGGGCCCCAGGATAGGGCCCTGCCACCGTGTTCGGAGATCCAGGGAATGCTGGGGTCTCTAGACGAAAGCGGAGCCTCCACAGAGAGATCCCAGGAACCTACAGTCTTCACAACCTCTGGAAGACGGTGGGCACCCACCCGCCAGCATGCTCGTGATGGAGGGGGAGGCTTCTGTCTTTCATCACTTGCAAATGCAGGGACCCGATCTAATGATACCTGAGGGACCCTCATCGGTCACCCCAGCTGGGTTCTGCACAAGGCATCATCAAATGGCAGGGACTGTACCCCGGGAAGACTTAACCTGTTCTCACAATATTTCTTGTTTAGTAACTTTCCTCCTGAGAAAGTGGGAATGCTTCCTGTCCGGTTCACCACTGAATCCAGCCAACAAGACATGTTTGAGAAGTATTTGTGGAACGATCATATGAACACATAGGTGAAGGGTGTTTGGGGGGACCCGATACACCATCCACAGGACTTGCCCTGTACCTTCAACCCTTTCTTTCATCTAAGTGATGCTTTCTTTTAATATTCTTGAAAGTGGATGGCTCTCATTAAAGCCAAGGAAAACAAAACAAACTGAAGATAACGAGGCTGGCGAAGAGGCGTTGAAACTTTAGTCATCAGTGTTTGCTGGTGGGAAGGTAAAATGGTGCCGCCTCTTTGGAGAAGAGTTTGGGAAATTTCTTAGAAAGATCACTGATTTACCCTATGACCCAGCAATTCCCCTTCTAGGAACCTACCGAGAAATGAAAACCTGTGTCCACATATGAACCTGTGCAAATGTTCATAGCAGCAGTATTCAGAATATCCAAAAACTGAAGAATTTCAAACGTCCATGGACACATGAAGGAATAAACAAATACGGTGTATCCATATAATGGAATACTATGCAGCAATAAAATGAACTTCTGGTAATGCACTACAAGATGGAAGAATCTCGTTTTGTTCGCTGAAAGAAGCCAGAAGCAAAATGCTACATATTGTATAATTCCATTTACATAAACTGTCCAGAAAAGGCAAATTCACTGAGACAGAAAACAGAGCAGATAGCTCAGGGCTGACAAGCATGAAGGATCTGTGTGAGGGCAGAGAAATGTTCTAAAATTAGGTTAGGGTGAAGTCTGCAGACTCTGCAAATTTACTGAAAATCACTGAATTGTACACTTGGAGTGGCTGAACTTTATGGGAGTAAATTACAGCACAATGAAGTTGCTAAAAAAAAAAAAAGTGATAGTCCAGCGGAGACTGAGGGAGCCTCAAGATCTTTTTTTTTTTTTTTTTTTTAAATTAGAGAGGGAGCGAGAGAGAGAAACAGCATGAGAGAGGAGAGGGTCAGAGGGAGAAGCAGGCTCCCCGCCGAGCAAGGAGCCTGATGTGGGACTCGATCCCAGGACCCTGGGATCATGACCTGAGCGAAAGGCAGTCGCTTAACCAACTGAGCCACCCAGGCGCCCAAGCCTCAAGATCTTAACCTGAAGGAAAGGCAAGTGCCTTCTCTGGAGCCCAGAACGACGTCCCTGTTACAAAATGCTGTGGGTCTCACCAGGGTGAGAAAGGTATTCACTGTGCAGTAATTGAGTGAAACCAAAGCGAAAAAGAAACACAGTATTGGAACAGCGCTGCTGTCTGAAGCGTGAACCCATGAGCCCGGGCTCCTGTCCTTCTCTGTCGGAGTGACAGCTGGGCTCCATCCACGCTCCGTCCAGCTAGACAGAGCGTCACTCCTGTTTCAAGCTCCAGGCCAGCAAGTCCTTAGTCTCCACTACTTGGGTGACTGATGAGGGGGAGGAGGGGGCGAGGTGGGAGCAGCACGGACCTTGCCAAGCTCACCCTGGCTCGCGGTGGTGAGGTTTCCAGATGGGACCCTGACCTCAGTTCACTCGGACACAACCTCCTTCGTAAAAGCTCACCTCGGGAAAGGTTTTAAACGTTCCTGTAAGAATCTCGCACAGGAACGACGTCTGTGCAAGATCCGTTTTAACAAAGTCGCCCCCAAATAGGCACCAACACTGAATTTCGGGGATGAACCTAAATGCAAAGGGAGCCTATTTAACCAACGCTTCCGTGTGGAGAGAGGCCAGAAGCTTCCTGGCTGCGGAGGGGGAGCTGCTATATATGGTGGGCATTTAGCCAAACTCTCCAAAATTAGTACGGAAAAGCTAGCCTCTGCTCTGACAGACTGTTTCAATCGGGCTCGTTTATCAAAAAACATCAGGACTGCAAATGCTACTGGTGCCTTCTTGTGGCTCCATTAAACTAATTACACTTACCTGAGCAGCTCAGGAGTGGTGGCAGTCTCCCTCCGTGGGGTGGACAGGGCACGCGGCCGGGGAACAGCTTGCGTGGTGCTGATCTGAGCCCTGCCACTAGGCTCTGAGGTCCGTTGTTCGGGAGCATCCCGACGAAGTCACAGTTCAACGAGCTTCAGAAACGGAGTGATCAGGGGCGCCTGGGTGGCTCAGCCGTTTAGCGTCTGCCTTCGGCTCAGGTCATGATCCCAGGGTCCTGGGATCGAGTCCCGCATCGGGTTCCTTGCTCGGCAGGGAAGCCTGCTTCTCCCTCTCCCACTCCCCCTGCTTGTGTTCCCTCTCTCGCTCTCTCTCTGTCAAAAAATAAATAAAAATCTTAAAAAAAAAAAAAAAAAGAAAAGAAAAGAAACGGAGTGATCTTCCTGCAGATGCAGGACTTCACAGAATGATCTGCAGCAAACAAGTGCTATATTGAGCCAGAGAGCAAAATCCCCCAGATCAAAACCTCTCCCGCTCTGCAAAAAACCCTGCAAACGTTTCGCAGGACTTCTGCCGGGGACTGCACGGTGCTGCGAACAGGATCCCCGGGTCCCTGGCCGGGCGGTAAGCCGAGGCGGTGGCCGTGCCCGCGGAGAGGGCAGCCAGGTGGCTAGTTCCCATTTTCCACTCTCAGGTGCCAACCCAACGGTTAAACCATCAGGTGCACCAAATGAGAGATAAGATTAAGTTCCTCTTTCCGATCAGTGGAAATGAGAAGTAGCTCCATTTAACCCCGAGCTCTTCAACTACGCAGCGTGGCCCACCCTGGCCAGGAGCGGGCTTCCGGGGGGCTCCCGTCCCGACCCCGATCACGCTGCTTCCTCTGCCAAGCACAGGAGAGTCCCCCCGGTTTCAGGATACACATTCAGACATGTGAGTTCTTTATCGGCCTATGCAGCTGTACGCGTGAACAGCATTATGCCAAAGCCGTGGGCGAGGGGCGCACGGGCCAGCCCTGAGGTTCAGGATGACCTGAGGTCCTACATGATCAGGATCGTCAGTGCTGGGCATGGGTGGTTCACCCAGGACCCTGAGCGCAGAAGCATCAGCACCAGCTGGGCACCTGTAAGAATCTCGCACAGGAACGCGCACTCTCGGCCCCCTCCGCCCCCCACGACCTGCCTGGGAGCAGAGCCAGCCCCAGTGCCGTGGGCCCCCTCCAGTCAGCACCAGCAGACCCCTCGGCTGGCGCTGGGGGCCTTGCTGCTGGCAGGAGCTCCTCTGGGTCTCACCCCGCTTAGGCTGTGTTGCAGGGGAGCCCCGGCCCCTGGGGTGCCCGGGGTTCAGACGAAGTGCCAAGGGAGCAGAGACACAGGCGGCCCTGGGCGGGTGGTGAAGGTGGCCCATTCGCGCTCATGGCCTCTCGAGACCCCAGCCCTGCTCCAGGGCTGGGCTCCAGGTCCGAAACTGTCAGGGGCCCTGGGACCTCAGAGGAGGGAGGTTAAAACCAAAGACCAACTTCACATCATCTGCAACGAATTCACCTCTGAGACCCTAACAGAGAAGCAATGGGGCGTGTTTCCATCATTTGCCCGCCAGTGTACATCCACACTCAGACGGAGTCGCGGGTCCCGGACGAGACCCCCAAGCCCACGGCAAGCACGCGGCCCACGCCGCCGCTGTTCGGTCACGTGGCACCTCGGCTGCCTGACGTGCTCACACCCTGCAGAGAGCCGACCCAAAGTTCTGTTTCACTTTATTGGATACACCAGGTATGGGAGTTACAAGTGAGATCTCTCGGTGTGCGGCCCGTGAGCCTTCTCTCCCACCAGCTCTGAAATGAACGGACCTCGCCTACATCTGGTACGAACACAAGCAAACCAAAATACAATCGGGTGGCGTCCCAAAGTGGGTCACGTAAACAGTTAAATTACTTAAGCTCACAATACCTCAGTGAAAATGGCATACACAACCATATAAATTACATTTCAGGTCTGTACATGATTCTAAAGAAACAAAGTAACAATGCTGTGCTCTGTACAACAGTGCTCCTAACATTCCAACCCCAAGAAACGCCTTCCCCTGAATTCCAGAAAAGTGGGCACAATACACATGCAGGATAATTAAAATCATTTCACAAAAAAATACAAAATCGCACTGGTTTCTTTTAAGGCACATTTTCCCGGAAGGCACAGGGAACTCCCGTCTCAGAAGCCCCGTGCTCACGGGACCCTGGAGGGAGCCAGCATCCTGTTCCCGTGAATCCTGGGCGGTGGTGGCGGCGGGGAGACTGTCCCTGGCGGGGGCGGCAGGGTCAGCGCACATCTCCTCCATCCTCAAACAGGCCAGCCGCCGGGAATCTCAAAGCTGCCCCACATCCGATCCAGACGCCAGGTGGGGGGAAGATGGCACCTACTTTCCTGCAAAGCGCAGGCGCCGCTCACTGCCCACGTCCCTCAGGAAATGCGGGCAGCGCAGGGCGTCACCGTGCATCCTGCTGGGCCCCCACCCCCACCTGCCCAGGCCCTCCAAGCCCCAGTGGCCCGGTCGGCAGGTCTGCGCACCAGAGGGCCACCGAGGAGTAGACGTGGCACAGTGAGATCGTACACCAGCGCCCCCGGCCCGGCGCCCGGCGCTCAAGCCCCCCTGAGTGCCCGGCGGCCCCGTGCCCCTCAGGCTTCCAGCTGGACCTCGGCCTCGTCCATCTGCAGAGTGTCGTTGTCCCCCAGCAGCTCGGTCTCCGGGACAGAGCCGTCCTCCGCCTCCTCCGCTTCCTGCACGGGGCTCTGGGCCGCATCCCCCGGGGCGTTGTGCGCCTCCTCGGTGGCCTCCGGGAGCAGGGCTGCCCTGTCAGCCATGGACGTGCTGGAGGGCGCGGTGGTGACGTAGCCAGTGCTGGTGGAGCTGCTCCCGCTGTGGTGGGAGCCAGGCTTGGGGACCACCTGGGCAGGCACCTGCTGCGGGGCCATCGGCATGGGGATCTGGACCGGGTAGAAGTTGGGCAGGTAGGCCCCGTAGGCCGGCACTGGCTGGTACCCATTGACGGGGATGTAGAGCTGGGGAGGGGGCACCATGGGCCTGATCTGGCCTTTGATGGGGATGAACGGGGGCTGCGGGAAGGGCTGGGCCTTCTGCTTGGGGCCCCCGTAGCGGGCGTTGCTGACGTTGCTGACGGGGCTGGTGCTCAGGGAGCTGGTCTGCGTGGCGTTGCTGGCCCCCGAGGTCTGCGCCGAGCTGTTGTAGGTGGACAGGTTGCCCCAGGCCCGGAGCCTGCTGTGGATGTCCTTGAAGCGGGGCCGCCGGCTGGGGACCTCGTGCCAGCACTCGATCATCAGGGCGTACGCCCAGGCGGGGCAGTCGTCCGGGCAAGGCAGCACCTGCCGGCCGCGGACCATGTCCACCACGTCCTGGTTCGAGTGGCCGCAGTAGGGCTGCAGGCCGTAGCTGAAGACCTCCCACAGGACCACGCCGTACGACCAGATGTCCGAGTCCACGGAGAACTTGCCGTACGTGATGGCCTCGGGGGACATCCAGCGGATGGGCAGCAGTGCGCTCCCCATCAGCTTGTAGTAGTCGGCCGAGTACACCTCGCGGAACAGCCCCAGGTCCGAGATCTTCACGCTCAGCTTGTCATACACGAGGACGTTGCGGGTGGCCAGGTCCTTGTGGACCACGTGGTGGCTGGACAGGTACTCCATGCCCGAGGCGATCTGCGTCACGACGTGCACGAAGTCGGGGGGCTCCAGGGCGGACTTCACCGTGCGGTCGTCGTCCGTGCTGCCCACGTCCGAGTGCGGCGAGCGCATGACCAGGAACTCGTGGAGGTCCCCGTGCGAGCAGTAGCTGAACACCATGCTGAGCGGCTGCTCCTTGGTCACCACCCCCAGCAGGCAGACTATGTTGGGGTGCTGCAGCCGAGCCCGCAGCATGGCCTCATGCCGGAACTCCTCCCGCAGCGGCCCCTCCGCTTTGTCCTTCAGTGTCTTGATGGCCACGGCCTGGCTCTGCTCCCCCGGGGCCGGGCCAAACAGGTGGCCTTTGTAGACCTTCCCAAACCGGTCCTCCCCGAGCTCCTCCATGAACCTCACCGACGACAAGCTGATCTCCTTGAGCTTGGCCTGCCAACAAGAAAAGCCCCAGTGAAACACTTCTGTCCCCACAGCAGGGGAAGGACAAGCCGGGCAGCTGGGAGGGGAGCCCGGAGGGCAGTCCCAGGGCCGCCCGCTGGCACGGCCCAGCAGAGGACCCCCAGTCCTGCCCACCCCAGGCTCAGCCTGCCCTGCACCCCGCTCTCTGCTCTAGAACATGCTCCTACACCGTGAGGCTGCCTGAGAAACTTCAACGGGTCCCAACCAGGCTGCAAAGTATGTCCCGCAAATACTCCTGAGACGCCATCGCAGGGTGTGAGTGCACGCCTGCTCACACACAGCCACACTGGGCTCCACTGTCCCGGAGGCTCCCCGGGACTCTCCCAGCTGCGTCCCCCACCACCGTGTTTCTCTTGAACCCTGCCGTGCGCTTCCCCTGATTCCTGCCACTTTGGAGCCTAGGCTGGCTTTTTCCCAGCTGTTCCTCAGTGGGCCCATCTCACTGCTTCTTCTTGATTAGATACATTGTGACAGAAGCACCACAGGGTGAAATCAATCCGAACTTCCCGTCTCTTCTGTGTGTCCTGCCGGGTCCTGCTCAGAGGCTCCCGGTTGCAGGGGGTCCTGCATCTCCTCCCCCTCGACCCCCACAGCCCCCAGCAAACACGCAGCGACTTCTGGCTACAGAGCTGAGTCCACTCTCCCCCGACCACCTTGAAGATCCCCTTCAGAGCCCAGACGGGACTGATTTTCCCCCAAAGCTTGCAAGTAATGTAAATGCCCCTTCCCGTAAGCCCAGCAGGCCGGGACAGACTCTCTCCTGTGCCGTATCTTGGGGTGTTCTTGCTGTCCTAAGAGCTCTCGGGGTGGGGGAGAGGGTAGCCTATCCTACCTCCACTCTAAGTCTGCAGCTCCACCCTTCCCTGAAAAGCAAAGCAAAGCAAAACCAACCCAACTCCAAACTGACCAGGAAACAGGCCCCCATCCCCTACAAGAGACAGCCGGGCCCTCGCGCGGTAGACCAACCCAAGCCCTTTTCCTGTGGGGAGAGTGGCAGCCCTGCAGATGCAGGACGACGCCTTCGGGCTACTGCACCGGTCTGGGTGGAGGGAGAAAAGCCTAGACTCTGGGACGGGGGATTCCAACACGCCTACCACTTCCTTTCTAAGGACACAATGTCCTGACATGTCTTAGAGAAGATGCGGGAAAACAAAGGGCAGTTCAAGATGGTTATGTGTCGTGTATCGAGTAAGTCAAGAACCCGAATGCAGAGGTGGGCGGGGGCAAGAGATCTCCAGGTCGGGGCTTCGTCTGGAGGTGCAGGAGACCTGCTTGTGCTGGCTGATGAGAGGCATTTCCACATCCTGGCTGGGCGAGGCCATCAGCTGCCGCCGCTGAGGTGTGGACGCAGAGGCCTTCTGCTTGTTCCGGCACATGCAGACCAGGAAGAAAAGGCACGCGATGACCAAGGGAATCGCGATGCTCGGAACCAATATGTACAGAATTCCCATCCTGCTGCTGTGCTGGGGACCTGTGAACAGCAAGGTTCACAATGTTTTAAAAACCATCCCCCCTTCCAACTCCAAGTTCTCCACCAGTCCACTCCCTCCCCCAACTGCAATGTTCAAGCACAAGGGGACGGTCCCATGAGTTGTGCAAAGGGGCGAAATGGCACACCAAACCTAAGAAAGGGTAACATACTGCAAAACACACCTCCCACTACACATCTGGGAGACACAATCCAAAACCGCCCCCAAGGAATCAATCGGAACACACGGCTCAAAAAACCCACCAACGCTAAGGCTCTTACAGTAATAATAACCAAGGTTTTGGGATGAGAAAAGACCCTTCCTGCAACATTTTAGGTTTTTCCACGTTTTGTGTATAATGAACACATACTCATTTAAGATACTAATTCAAAATGCATTTGATTTAAAAGACCACTGGTAGCCAGTGAGTTTGACCCAAGGCAGTTATATGCCCCAGGGCCATAAGCGTGAGAGGAAATGCGGCGGTAAGATGTCCAGATTGAAGCTTCTAGATAGCTTTACGATTTTCACAGTAAGGGGCAATTCTCCGTCTCCCTCTACAGGACTCCCAGACAGGCAGAGGGGGCATGCTGGGCCGCAGCACTGTCCCAAACGCAGTGTCCTGATCCAACAGCCCCACGCCACCCCCCCGCACCCTGCTGCAGATGAAATCACATAACACCAGAGAACCCCCCTGGCCCCACCCTCGAGGCAGATGTTCTAGAAGCCTCAGGGGCAGTGGAGGCTCTGGGTCATTTCTCTGGGGAGACTCCATGCCCCTCAGGTCCAGGTCAGAGATCTGAGCACCGTCCAAACATCTGTGCAACCATTTATTTCATCATTATCTTTTCAAAATCACCAACAGAGACCATGCGTATTAACAACTGCAACGTTATAGCACAGTGACTATGCCTAATGGCCCATTTACCAAGGACTATACCACTGTTAATAGGCTGGTGTTGGCCCGATTTTCTATGTCCAGTTTAAGGTGAGCACGAAATAAACAACCTTCAGCTATCTTGACATACAGAAGCAATAGTTTCACAGAGTTCTTTAGCATAGAATTTTAAATAGAAATCCTTTTAAATGCAATCATAGCCTCCATTATTTCCCGACTGCTGGTTTTGTAGCAGAAGAATACATCCGAGACAAGGTTCCACAAGGAAGAGACAGCTCCAGGCATTCCCTGGGAGCTGCATGCAATGCCCATTACGGATGTGTCTCGGTCATCATCTGACCCCTGCTGGGAGCAATCAGCCTGCTTCTTACCTAGCTGCTAAAAGCGAGCCCGCAATACAAATGCTTAGCATTTCTGCTCTCGAAGCGCAAAGCTTTTTGCAATATAAGATATTCCTAGAACTGCCAGATCAAATAGCATACGTATTTTTAATGTTCTGATTTATTTTTAATTACAAAGGTAATAACTGCTCATTGTGAAAGCATATTCTGTTTTAACATTTCTGTAGGCCATGGGAAATCACGGCCAAAAGTTTGGTGTGTATCGTTCCAAAACTTCTGCCTATGTGAGCTCCCACACACAGGCACACACCTTTCCTTTACAAAGAAAGAGACAGAGAAGGGAAGGGAGGGGGGATGCAGACAGAGGGGGCTGGAGGGAGGAAAAGCAAGCAGGGATAACACAGCTATTCCCCCACAACATCCTTTCCCTAACAGGTCATCATGGACATCCTTCCTTGCAGGAAATTTTTTTTTAGAAAACTGTAGCATTCCATGAAGTAGCTTTATGATAATCTCCGGACATGCTCGTTCTTAAAATTTAGTCCTGCAGTGAACACACATTCTTAAAGATCCGTGTTAAGATCTGTGCTGAGTTGAGAGGAGCGGCAAATCTGGAACTGCCCAATCCTACTCCCACGAGGTAAGGGATGCCAGTTTCCACAGCTCGCATCTGCAGGTGGAGGCTCGCCCGGCCCGGGGCCACCAGGAGGAGGTTGGCGGGGGGATGGCGAGCCTGGCTTTGCTTCACCCTTAATCTCTCCTCATCCATCTGTTCTCGGTACTGTTCCAGCAACCCACTCCCTCCAGGGTCCAAAATGTAAGACTCAGAAGGCAGCCAACCTTCTCTCGGGGACCCAGGCCAGCGGGAACTGGTGAAAGGTAAATGGTCCCCATATAGAAATAGGAACGCTTGTAAAGTTTGCAACCCTTAATTGCACTCTCTGCTCCCGTTCGTAGTTTAACAAAGACTTTGCAGGGAAACTGGTTACAAGACTGAAGTTCTGTTCTTCCTCACTCTGCCTCGTCCACCCGTGCAAGCTGGTGCAGCAGGAGGCAAGGGAGGGCCGGAGGTGTCATGTCCCCAGTGCCAGGTGCCAGGCCGAGGGCTGTGGCCGCGGCAGGAAGCACGTTCACCAACATTGGGAAACATTACGGGACAATGTTGATGGAGAAACCAGATGCCTGAGTGACCATCCCAGGACCACACACAGGAAGAGGGCTGGCAGAGGGGCCCCAAAACCTAAACAGCAGTCTCCACCGCGTGGTGAAATTTGGGGTGAGATGCACATGACTCCTCAGACTTTTCTCTAATTTGAAACGTCCCGTCATGGCCAGGGAGTACTTCTGGGACAGGCAACGGCTTTACTTGAAACCAGTAATGGGGGAGGCGCTGGGGCCGCCAGCACCCTGGGGCCCCGAGCCATCACAAAGTGCACGCAACAGTTAATGCTTTAAAAAAAAAGAGAGAGAGAGAATACATACTACAAGAGGGTACGTCACACAGTTCCATGCGTACGTTTTTATTCTGCGTGAAGCACCAGGGGCCCTCCATCTGCCCTCCGGGGTTGCGGCAGTAGGCATGCCCCCCTCCGAGCTCGGGGAAGTCTGCGCTGGACAGGTGGTGGCTGTGGGGCAGCTGCAGGGCCCACGGCTGGCACTGGTGACCCGACTTAGTGGTGCTCGCCGTCCCTCTGTAATCCATGCCCGAATCATTGTAGCACTGATGGTCTGCGAGAGAAAGATGCGTGAGGGGGCCCCACCGTGAAGGGGAAGCAGCCCTCCTGGGGAGGGGGGGCCCAGAGCACCCCTCTCCAACTCTTCCAGAAAGGAACCCCAGCACCGCTTTGCCTGCATGTACCCACACTGGAATTTCCAGAAGACCAAACGATTTGACTTCGAGAAAAGTGGCACTTAAAAGGAATGACTTCATGCAGCCCCAAGCCCACCAGTTAAGTGTGCAGGGCGTGGGGGCATCTGGGGACACAAGTGGGGAAGAAAACCCATCCGAAGTTAGACCACGATCGTGAGCGCACCTCTGGGGCCCGCGAGGCACCTCCGCTGCAGAACGAGGAGGTCAACCCACGACCTCAGACACCCGCTTGCTGCCCAGGGAGGGCACCACGTGCATCTCCGCGGCCCACGGCAGAATCCCAGGCCCCTCTCGGAGCCAGACCCAGGGCGCAAGTGTGTTCAACAGCAGTTTTGGGGAGCTTACCGTGAGCGGGCACCATTCTGAGCACCTTCTAAAGATAAACTCATTTAATCTACATTCCATCTTCTGAGGTTGGCAGTTATTATCCCCGTGCAGTATGAGGAAACTGGTATTTAGGCAACGTGTCCAAGGCCACCTGGAGTGGGCCCTGCAGCCGAGATCCGGACGCGAGCCAGGAGCCCAGAGGCCAGGCTCTGACTGCCCCAGCCTCTGAGAAGCCCCAGCCTCACCAGAGAAGTGAAGAGAGTCCCGAGCCTGGGAGAAAGCCGGTCTCTTCCCTGGGTGCCCCCCACCCCCCCGCCCCGCGGTCCCCTTCAAGGGGCAGCAACCGTGACCTCGTCAGAGAGGAGAGATGCTCAGGGACCCCAGGGCAAGCGTGGAAGCTGGCCCTGCCTCTGCTCACGCTGCTAACAGCCTTTTGCAGCGGGCACGCAGCTGCCGCCCACCTTAGAGGAGCGGAGTCTGAAGCCCCCCGACGTGGGGACTCAGGCCAGTCCCTAAGGCAGCAGGTGCCCCGCGGCTGCGCGCCCGCAGCGGGAGGACCCCAAAGCCCCGCGACCGCCCCACGGGGCTGGAGCAGGCGCGGCCGCGGCCAGCGGGGACTCACAGCGGCCCAGCCTCTCGGCGGGGATGCCGATGCGCATGCAGTTGGCCGCGTCCGGGCTCTCGGGCAGGGGCAGCGCCTCGCACTTGGGCAGCTGCAGCCGCATGAGGATGAGCGGGTTGGAGCGCGCGATGCGGTACTCCTGGCGGCACAGGTCGCTCTCCAGCACCTCGCACTCGTCCCGGCACAGCTCGCGGGGCTTGGGCGCCCGGGCGCGCGCGTCGCACAGCGGGAACACGAAGTGGCAGAAGGACGGGATGGCGAACTGTGAGCACTGGTCGGACAGGTGCGTGGAGGTGCCGATCATGGTGAAGGCCGCTGCGGGGGCGGTGAGACGGGCGTCAGGGCGGGCGGGCGCCTGCCCTGGGGCCCTAAACTCCGCCCGAGCCCCCCTCCCACGCCCCCGCCGCACCTGGTGCGCCTCGCCCCATCCGCAGCCAGGTGTCCCTCGCCTGCCCGGGCCCCTCCCCCTTCCGCTCCCCCCAGGGCCCCCCAACCCTCCGCCCTGTCCTCTCACACAAGCAGGCCCCCAGGGAGCAGGGGCTGCCCTGATTTACACGGGACATAGAAAGTCCCTGGTCCCAGGGCTTCACTTACAAACATCACAAGTGGAACAAGAGAGAAGGAAAAACCAGGCCCAAGATCTCATCCGGCTAGATGCTTCTTGCATCATGGGAAGATTCAGATTTCAGACCCAAAAGCCACTTCCTAAGGCCCTGCTAGGAACTGGGCTCAGCAAGCAATGGGCTGTAGGTAGAGCAATGGGGCTGGGTGACGTCTAGAAGCAGAGATTGGAAAAGAGCGCAGGGCTGGAGCCCCGGTCTTCTGCCATCCCGGTCCTGTGGGCCTGCAGACAGACCTGGCAGCCTGGGGAGGCTTCAGCAGGGAGGGGGTGGCCCCAGAGGAGGAAGACAGTAGGCCAGACAGTTGGGCGACCGGCCCTGTGAAATGCAGCGACAGGAGGAGTGACAACGGGAGAGGCAGGGGTGAAAGGGAGAGCCACCAGACAGCTGGAGGGCGTTCAAAGCGGGGAGGCCTGGGGGGGGGGGGGGGGCTTTGGGATGAAGGGAGCAGAGAAGCAGGTCGAGCCAGGGTCTGGAGCCAGGGTCGGCTGGTTTGCTCCTTCGAGGTGGGACACAGGATGGAGCGGGAGAGGAATGAACGTGAGAGGACGCGGTGGCAGCTGTGCGCTGAGCGGGAACAGCAGTGCGTGCGGCAGGAGGGTGCCGTCCCCCTCTCTTGGCCATCAGGGCTCAAAGGAGGGCATCGACCAGCATGCCCACTGCCTGGAGGCCCACCCACTTTGACCTGCAAAGGCCCTGCTTGTAACGATATGACAGCCCGGGACAGCTAAAGAAAGAGAGGCCCCTCTGCCCACACACCCTGCAGAGATGGGGAGAAAACAGGACATGTTGGACTTTATTTAGTCCCTGGGACACCGGCTCTACCCAGGACTTGTGGTGCGGTGCCCAGTGCGGCCAGAAGGTGGCGCTGCGGGCACCCATTATCTGGGGGGAACCAGGGAATAGATGAGCTGGCGGGGGAGCCCCAGCTGGCTCTGCCCTGTTATTTACTACAAGATAGTGGGTCACTCAGTCCTCTCTGGTCCTGTGTCTTTATCTGTCTAGTGACTTGTTGAAGCCTCACACCGGGGGATGGAAGCCCACACAGAGCCTCTAAGATAGCTCGTGAGATGAATACATGGTCCTTACTCCTTCTGGTCCCTTCTGGCCAATATTAAAATTGAGGAACACAGAGGTAAGAGGTTTAGGTGAAGGGTCTCTCGGAGATAGCTCAAGAACCAGGTGTGAACCCAGGTCAGCCCCAACATGGCAGAGCTGGTGACCATCAGGGGCCAGTCATGCAGTGGGCTGTGACCCCCAGGCACGGAAAGATGGTCCAAGAAAGCCAAACCTGGCATTTCTTTTGGGCTAACCGACCAATAGAGTGTCCTAGTTGACCCTTTAAGCGACTCCGCTATTCCCTTGCCCCCCTCAGAACGTAGCACATGAGGGCTTACTTCTGAAAGTATGGTTCTAGGTACCCAGAAGGACCAACAAACTCATGTCCTCGCCTTTATCCACTCCCCACATGTCACCTCGAAGGTCTCTTGGAGTCCATTCCCTGGGAAGCTTCCAGAGTCCTGGGAAGGCGTTCTGACAAGCATGCTCCCCAAACAGAACATCTCCACAGCCAACAGTCTCTAAACCACAAGACAGTCAGTCTAGAACAACTTCAACTTTATTCTCTCTGAAATCCACAAACCTAGAGATCCTCATTCTAGACTTCTGTCTAAAAACTGCTGTACAATCAGCCTGCTTAGATATTGGAGTTGTTCAATGCTTCACACAGTTCCTGAAGACATAACTCGGGGACATTCTCGTGCCTGGAATCAGTGTTTGTCAATTAGTGGGATGCAAAATTCTGGACTCTGTGGCTAGCATTTTACAAGACGATTAGAACAGAGGATGTCTGCATGCACGGTTCATATTAAGGCTATAATCGATTCTTTCCTTAATGAAAGAGAACTGAAGAGAAAAATCCAAGCACACTGCTTTTATTAAGGATGATGTCTGCTTCCTGGAACCTGCTTCCTGCTTCCTGTGTCACTTCTTTGAGACACAGGTGTGGGTATACACCTGTGGGAATCATTATTTAAAGTACATTTTACTGTATGTTGTGGTCAAAAAGGTTTGAGCAGATCTGCTTTAGATGGCACGAAAAGCTTTTCCAATGAGAGATACCAAGGTTCGCAAAACGTTTTCCTGTTGGACGACCGCCGTACTCCTACTTCTCACTGGACAACTGGCCCTGTCCTCAGGGGGCTCAGGAATGACAGGCCGGTCAGGCAGGCAGTTCCTTGCATGACCATGACCTTAGATCCTCCAGCTTGAGGTGAAAGACAAGGGAGGGCTGACCTGGATTTAGAAGGACATGTCAATGACATTTCCGTGAGCGTCCACCTAGGATCCTCACTCTTGCCCCTTACCAAGGTGGTGCTTTTTTTGCAAGCCCCCCTCTGCAAACCCCACCCCGTCTCCTGCGGAGCCCAGCATGTGTGGCCTTAGGGGGCAGCCGGGGTCCAGAACTATTGTGTAGAAAACCCAGTTGCACAGGGACATCTGCCGTCTTCACAAGATTTTTCTCGTTCCTTATAGAGTCTGGAGAGAAAGACGTGTGTGTTTGTGGGGAGAGCAGGGACAGGATTCGGTCGAATTCATTTTCTTACTTCTCAAAGGATTTCCCCCAAGATGACCTTCACATCCCCATGTAAAAGCACACTGAGGACTAACAGGCAACGAGAAATGGGTACTTCTAAAGAGACAGAGAGCAAGCTGCTCCCTGCCGAGGGATCTGCTCCATTTCTCATGCCGTGAAGCAACACCCGATAACCCGACTGTCCCCGGAACCTGAATGCTGACCATCGGGAGTACCATGCAGCATCCCCAGGTGCCGCCGCTGACCTGCACACCTCTCTCCCCAACACCGAAGTCGGGCCTGTGAACCTTTTAACCAAGCGAAAGAGTCAGGGAAGGCAGAACAAAGAAGTCAAGTGACCGAGTGTGGTGGGCACCAGCCTGTGGTGTGGCCAGCCCGGGGACAGGAGGCTCTGGCCATGCATCAAGGACAGGCCATCTCAGGACTTTGGACTCATGTGGTGGACCCACTTAAGTGTGCTGGTTGGTGTGAACGCACAGATGGGAACATCTGAGGGTAAACCATGGTGGCAGTCCCAACGGCTTCTAACGAAGCTCTTTGAGTCTCTGGTGCAAGACACGTGGAACAGGGACTGACTGTCCAAGATAGGAAATGACAAACGCACAAGGGGGCCGGTCTGCGCTCGCGGTCTCACAACAACGATGTGGGGCTCCTACCTGTGATTCGGTTTTCAATCTCTCCCTGCATCTGGAGGGAGTCCACATAAATGGTCCGGTTCCCAATGAAACGTGCACATGCGATCCCCCGGTAAGGCTGACAGAAGCCGTCCTCGTGGTAGTTGTCTCTGGGGGAGATACCGTCTATGAGCACACTGGGTGGTTGTTGGGTTTTTCTTCAAATCCAGCATCTTATCATCTCGTCATCTCCTTTCTTGGTATTGACCCAAAGGAACTGAGAACTTCGGACCACCCAAAAACCTGCCCACGAATGTTTATTGCAGTTTTATTTCTAATTGCCAAAACTCGGAAGCAACCAAGATGTCCTTCAGCAGGTGAATGGGTAAATAAACTGTGGTCCGTCCAGATAGAATAGTATTCAGTGCCAAACACAAATGAGCCACGGAAAGACATGGAGGAAGCTTACATGCACGATCCTAAGTGAAATACGAACCTGGAGAGGCTACGTGCTGTATGATTCCAGCTATCTGGCATTCTGGAAAACACAGAGCTATGGGGACAGTAAAAGGTCAGTGGTTACCAGGGGTTGGGGGACGGGGTGGTGCATGGGATGAACAAGCAAAGCACCAGGGACTTTAGGGCAGGAAACCTACTCTGTATGATACTATAATGGTAGATACATGTCTTTATTGATTTGACCCTAGAACAGCACAGGTTTGAACCTCATGAGTCCATTTACATGCAATTTGTTTTCAATAAATACAATAGAGTACGATAAGTGGACTTTCCCTCCCTTATGATTTTCTTAAGAACATTTTCTTTTCTGTAGTTGACTTTATTGCAAGAAGTCAATACATAATGCATACAACACACAAAATACGCATTAATTGACTAAGTGATTGGTAAGGCTGCTAGTAATCAAGTTTTGGGGGAGTCAAAAGTTACACACAGATTTTTGACCACGCATGGGGTCGGCGTCCTAACCCCCATGTTGTTCGAGAGTCTGTTGTCCGAATTCATAGCATGTACAACACCAAGAGTGAAAACTAACGTACACTAGAGACTCTAGTTAATCATAAAGTATTGATATTGGCTCGTTGATTCTAACCAACGCACCACACTAATGCAGGATGCTACTAACAGGGAAACTGTAGGTGTGGACGCTGGGGGGTGGTAGGTGAAACCTCTCCATACTTTCTATTTGATTTTTCTGGAAATTCCAAATTGATCTAAAATATAAAATCCATTAACTTCAAAAAATCCAGCATCTTTAAGGGGAGCAGAGCCATGGAATGTGAAAGATGGATTATAAATGTGAAGTGTACACATGGGTGGGTACATGTCCACATATGTGAACAAATACACACAGAACGTTCACCATGAATATGTCTCATCCTATGTGTGAACTACAACAGAAACATTATGGCGCACCCCATAAACTTCTGTTGTTTGCAAGCAAGACTTTTATGAAAGTGACTATAATTCAGAAACCGTGTTCTACCATTACACTGCACAAGAGAAATCTTCGAAATGCAGGGAAACAATGGGGGGCTGGAATTCCCAAAAGTCTGGCCTTCAAATAACTTGTACAAGGAGAAGTTCTTATTATATGACAGAGAAGTGTGTCATGTAGATGGCACGGATCACACTTAAAAACCCGGGGGATGGACAAGGAGCCTCATAAAAGCATGGCCCTCCCACCAGGGCCCCCAGTCCAACTCCCTCCCCAGGGCCTTTGCACAACCTGCACAGCGCCCTGCTGGAGTCTGTGCCACATTCTATTCTGTAGAACCTGTTAGTCCTGCCTTCAGCTGATGAGATCAGGCATTCTGAGTACCCCGATGCTTTTCAGAGGGCGCTCAGGATGCTCCAAGGAGACAGGGGCTGTGGCTACAGCAGATATATGAGAGCTTCCATCTGCTGGGAACAAAGGAGAGGGGGGCTTGGGGCTCCCAGGGCAAACTGCTGACAAGTGCTTTGGGCCTGTAATTAAGTCACTTGTTTTCTAGCAAATCTGTAACCAGCCTCTACGCCTGACAACACTCATCATCCCACCCTACACTGATTTAGAGCATCCCCCAATGAAAATCTCTGTTGTGTCCAATTTTACCAAATGGATTTAAAAATCTGTATTTAAAAATTTTACACAAATGTAAAATCTGGACGCTCATAACAGGGGAGACAAAGGATCTGCAAGAACATCCTTTCAGCGCCTCGGGCTCTCTCCCTCCTTGGCACCTGCAAGAACTCTCTTTTTCAAAGAAAGGAAACTGGAGCCATAAATAATCCAAACAAAGAGATTCTGGTGTCAACAAGAGCTGGATGCCCTTTCTCGCAAGCTCACTTAGCCATTATTTCTTTGGGTCAAGGATTCCTTAAATATAGTTTAACTAGCCAAGAACATGTGCTAACAATACACACCCGACCGCCTCCTTTCTCACTCTTTGTGAGCTGGAGTTAACTGTTGATTAAATTAAAACCAATACCTATGCTTAACAAATGCACCAAAAGTGCAAGTCAACTCTGTCCCAGTGCGTGCGCTACATGTCACTCTTTGCAGGTGGCTCAGGGCACTTGGCCACCACACCAGGAAAATCAAAGAGGTATGCACGTTCCATGTAACGTCACATATGCACGGGATAGATCTGATGCAGTCAGTCCCTTGGGGTGACCTCACAACAGTGAGCAATTTCTATTCTCCACTTCAAGAATCAAGGAATAGAAGCCCGGTCCCTCACTGTGGGCTACTCCATGGCCGCTGGTCAGGTGCCCCGCGGGACTGGGAGAGCAGTGAGGGTTCAGGGAAGACATGCTGAGAAGGGGCTTGATGCCATCTCATCTCATCCCCTACTAACTCAGCTTGGTGGGCTTCTAATCTGAATTGTAGAGAATGTCCAAAAACACAAACAGAAGTGCCTAGAAAATGACATCTTTCAGGTTTCTGACTTGTGAGAAAACAAGTGGAAATTACCTTCTAGTTTTGAGCACAATTATATTTTATCTTTACCTGGCCATAGTTTGGGACCTCTGAAGAGGGACAGAGCTGGAAAAGTGTGTAAAACTGTTCCCTCAGAGATCAAAGAAAAGCACTGAGACAGAAGTCGCCATCCGTAAAGCCCCTTCAACCACACAAGTGAAACACACGTTACCAAATCACAGAACATCAATATTACGGAAATTCAATTTCAGGTATCTCCTACATTCCTAATGCCCCACACATTAATCTAAGGCCTAATGACAGAGATGAAGAAGAAACTTATAAACCAACAAATTCATGGTCAAGGAGGGGAGACAGATAAATAACTACAATATTGTGTAAAAAAAGCAAGGAAAGGAGTAGGTGACTGAGACCAAAGAGAGGAAGTACAGAAAGTGCTTTTCACAAAGGACTGAGAAGATGAGGGACTGATGGGCACCTTCCCCCCAGTGGTAAACCCTAAACATAAAAATTAGTTTGAAGAAAAACACAGAAAAATTCCTGGATATAAATAATGAATGATCTTTAAAAAGGGAAGTAGGCGCCTTTGAAATTGGAAAGTAATCAAAGTCAAAATTCAAATGTAGTTACACATTGTGTAAGAAGGTAACTTGCCCCCCAAACAGTATTTTGCTAATAAGGGGTAAAACCACTTTCATAATTGTCATTCACATTATGAAAGGGTCAGCCTATATTAAATGGGCTGCCTGCTTGAGTGACACAGAGGAGGCTACATCTCTGGCATAATGGGGGGCAGAGCAAAAGCACAAAGAGTAAACTGAGATAAATCACTTTAACAAAGCCTGATACTCAATTCCATAAGATTCAGGTGACCTGACAGTAATCGAATAGGCAGGCAGCAACAAAAGACTCTTTGGAGGAAGGTAACAAAATCTAGAGTACAAACTACAATCTCAAGTATACAATGAAAAATTAGCAGACATGAAGAAACAGGCAAGTATAACCCATCAAGAGAAACAAACCCAAAGATGATCCAGATGTTAGACTTAGCAGACCAGGGCTTACAAGGGCTCTAACTGTGGTAAAAAAAAAAAAAAAATGCATGGAAGAAAGTGTAATGAAGATATGGGTAATTTCAGGAGACATGAAAACTGTAAAAGAATCAAATGGAAGAACTAAAACATACAATCCCCAATAAACCTTTTTCTGGATGGTATGAACAGATTAGACAGAAGAGGAAAAAAATGGTAAGCATGACAAGTCAAAAGAATATTTGCAAACTGAGAAAGAGATTAAAAGATTTCCAAAAATAAACAGAGCTTCAGTGAGCTGTGGGCGAGTACAAGGGGGAACCTAACTGATGTGACATCAAATTTCAGGAGAAGAGAGACCCAAGGAGCCGGGAAAAAAATTTGAAGAAATAATCACCAACATTTCTCCAGAGTTGATTAAAAGACAGTTACAAACTAATCAAGCAATGTCAGTGAACAATAAGCAGGATAAAAAAAGATATAAATATTAATATATCTAATATCAGAGCATCAAAATACATGAACAAGAGTTGACAGGACTAGAAGACAAAACAGAAAAATCCACAATTACAGCTGGAAATGTTAACACCTGTCTCTCAGCAGTTCCTCGAGCTAGATAAAAAATTTGTGAAGAAACAACAGTGGAAACACTGATCACTGCCCTTGACAAAATGGACATTTGTAAACCAATATACCCAGCAAGACAGCATCCGTGTTTCAGTGCACAGGGCACATTCACCCAGACAGACCAGATTCTTGCCACAAAGTAACTCACAATAAATTTAATAGAACCAGAACCATAAATCTCAGATCACATTGAATTAAACTAAAAATCAAGAACAAAAAAGATCTTTAGAAGCTCTGCAAATATTTGAAAATTAAATAGTCCACTTCTAAATAACCTTTGGGTTCAAAAAAGAAAATGCAAGGAAAATTGGTAGTTTAAATGGAATTCACATAAAATAAGTGAAAACAGGATACCAAAAATTGTGGAATGCAGTTAAAACAGTAATTAAAGAGAAATTTATAGCTTTAAATGCTTAAATTAGATAAGGTTTTATATTGTAAAAAGCTGGAAAAAGAATGTCAAATTAAACCTGAAGTAATTAGAAAATACTAATGATGAGAACATAAATCAATATAAAAGGAAGAGAAAAATCAATAAAGCCAAAAGTTAGTTCTTAAAAAAAAAAAAGGA